ATAAGACCTACCTCAAAAGGTTGTTGCAAGGTGTAAATGAAACTCATATTGTTTCATGGGCTTACAGTGGTACATAACAAAGGCACTTGCTCAATCATTAAATTCAGTTCTGAGGATATGATTAAAATGCTCCTTCCTTTATGACTCATTGGAGCCCAACTGATCTGCCACCTTCTCCTTGGGGCATTTCCCAAGGGGTCACCTCATAGAGAGCTGGATCTCTATCCTTTGAACTGCTGCAGCCCCCCATCGGAATGGCTTTTGTGCCCCTTGCTGCCCTGTGTCACTGCACTGCATTTGTTTATGCTACTTGCTGTAGTTCTTCCCCAACTACCATCAATTCCTGGAGGAAAGAATTGGTATCTATTCTTGTTCTGTCATTGCCTCACAATTCTTTGTACATGATAGATATATTCAGGGGCTGGGGATTTAGCTCAGTGGTGTAAGCACCTGCCTAACAAGTGTGAGGTCGTGAGTTTGATTCCCAGTACAAAAAAAAAAAAAAAAAATTAGCACACTTGATATTCAATAAATATAATTTGCCCTCATGAGTGAATGTCAATGTCTGATAATACATAGTTATTTTATAATCCAGCTACTTCCATAGCCTTTTGTAAAAATCGTCTAACTAGTAAATTTACAAGCTAAAGGGACATAATTTAGAACAATAAAGTTACCTGCACTGTTGTGTTATATTGGTTAGTCCTGCCAGAAGTATCTATCAGAAGCTAATGGGGCAGGGCAGCAATCACCCTTGGAAAAGCAGTTTGGCTGGCCCAGATGGAAGACCAAATTGTAAACCATAGGTTTCAGCTGAACAAGTGAGCTGATGCTGAAGATCTGTTCATGGAAAGGGAGAAACATAATTTCATAACTCTTAGAGGAAGAGAGAATCAGAAGATTAGATTGATTTGTATGAAACTGCCATTTTTACAGACCAATATTGGTCTTTTCAATCTTAAGAGTTATACTAGAAATTTGAACATCTGGGCAACACATCCGGGTGTAGAATACCACGAGGTCCATACTATTAAATAGGTGGGAGGTACATTGGACTTTTCCAGTTTTCTGTAATGTTATTGACCTCATATCGGTCAACTAATAACCCATCATTCTAGAAGTAACATTTTGGAAGCCCAGCTAAGAAGCAAGCATACATAACTTGTATGACTGGAAGCACCAGATGGGTAACTAGTCCCATGGGAAGGAAGAGGAGGGGGCTGTGACATCCTTGAGCAGAGCCATGTGGGCTATGTAAAGGGTGGGTAGACTGAGCAGCCTTTGAAGTTAAGGCTGACTGGTGTAGAACAATTGCCCCCAAACCAGGAATTGTACCGAGACTAGAAGAAAACAAAATAAGGTCAGTGACCTTACTTCTTTCCTTTTAAATTTTATATAATACATATTTTATGGAATTATATTTTTATAAGAAAGTAGTGCTGGGGGCCAGAGATATAGCTTAGTAGTTCAGCATCTGCCTGGCAGGTGTAAAGTCCTGAGTTCAATTTCTAGTACCCACAAAAGAAAGAAAGTTAGTTCTGTAGTTTGAATCTTAAATGTCCCCTAAATGCCCATATGTTAAAGATTTAGTCTCCAGGGTGGCACTAATGAGAGGTGATAGAACTTTTAAGAGCCAGGACCCAACGGGAGGTGTTCAGGTCATTTGGGAATTCTCTTGAAGAGGATGTTGGGCCCTATTCTCTTTTTGGGGGGTTAGTTTCTGATATGCAAACTCTTGTGCCCTGGGGAGTCATAGCCTCTTTATCTTGAGGCTCAGTACCCAACTGACATTCCCAGAGCTATTGGCTCTCACATCTCTCGTGCTAATATCCTGTACATATCCTGATGGAGAACACTATGTGAGGAAACAGGACAGTCTGTTGGTTTTAGAGATTACATACCAGCATCTCAGCTAGCCTTATTTGCAATGCTCAGAGCCAATTGAAGAGAGAAGGAAATACCATAGCCAGCTTTTTATATATCAGTATAAGGAAAGGAGTCTACAAATAATCAAAGTCAGTAACTGTTTTGCATTCAAAGGGAGTCACTGGAGTTGTCTCCCACAGCTGAGGACCAAGTCTTTAACACATGGACATTTGGGTTCAAGATCCAAACTATGGTAAACAGTTTTGGAGAAAACAAATATATAGATAGATTTGCTGGCTGAGAAATTAGCCCAACCACTTAGTGAACTAATTTTTTTATTTGATTTTTTTCTTAACTGTGCATTTGTAAATGAAAAGAGAAGGAATTTCATTAAGTGGTATTCAGTATAATAGGAGCCTCTCACCAGGTTATTTCTCAGCGACAAAGACCATGATAGAAGATGCAAGTTCTAGAAGAGCTCTCGAAGGGGATGACAACATTGAGTTGGCAGTCTGGAAAGACTTTGGGGAAACAGTCTAGTAGAGCCCTATGACACAGGTGAGAGTGGCTTTAGAGAGCCTCACACTAGTCTTATACTATCTACACCCCTTTCTCTGGGACAAGGAGCCTGTAAGGCCAAGGGGATGGGATCACCCAATGCAGTGCTCTTCCACTGTAGACCACATCCATGTACCTGTGATACAGAGGAACGGAACTCCCAACCTACTGAATGTCAGGTAAGAGTTCGTGTTCTCTAAAATTGAAGATTAATTTTAGGAACAATGGAGATTAAGAGCAGAATATATTTACTGAGAGAAAGAAAGCTGTCTGAGAGACAGGAGAGGTACCAAGTGAATTGTTGAAGACTCTGTCTTTTTAGGAACTTTTATAGAGCAAAACCACAAGGTGAGACAGGTCTAAAGGGGGAGAAAACACAGGAACTTGCAAGGTGAGCATAAGGTGAGACGGAACTATGGTTAACTAATAAGATTAATTGCTCAAGTAAAATTGATTAAATGGGGACAAATGGGGAAGTGAGTCACGCACGTAAGCAGGCTAATTCTTAGGGAGCAGTGACTCTTCCCATAGGAGTTGGGATGGTGATTCCTGTCTTCTTGGGGTGATAGGGAACTATTTAGAATATCAGTCCTTAAGATATGGATGTATTTGTTTGATCTTTTGTCTTGAAGCCTGGCCCACAGCAGGAGGTGTCTGTCTCCCCACAGTTGCAAGGTATCTGGTTTTCTACACTGGCTCCTGTCTGAATGCCTATAATACTTCTATCTAACTCAGTAGCCTGTAACACCTGGGGATTTGGTGTTCCTTGCTAGATGACTCAGAGCTTTGTAGGTTTATACAAGACTCTTCCATAGGTCCCTCCTCTGAAGGGTGATGTCTGTTCATGAACCTTTTATAGGCCTGAGGAGTAGCGAAGAGATTGTGTTTGTGAATGGAGCTTGAATGACAGAGAAGACCATTTAAATATGAGCACAAGGCCCTGGGCAAGGTGAATGAAGCTAGAAGTGGGGAGAGAAGGAGGTGGGTATTAGGTTGAGGGCCAGGGATTGCACCATAAAGGCTACATTTCTGTGTCAGTGTATCCCTGTCTGGCTCTTCACAAAGTTTGTACTTTGAACTTGGAATTTTACTGTCAAGGTCACATGAATGATTATTTCTAAAAATCAGAGGACAGACTATGTTTAGCCATTTTTTCTTCTTGATTTATTCCTTTTAAATATTTGAACTCTGGTATGCGGGCCTCCAGTTGCCCTCTTGACTGGGCCATGCAGTTATTGGAGTGGTTCTAGGAGTGGCTTTGAAGAGGGACTTTGATGACTGGGAAGGGTTTAGATGAGGCAGATTGGAAGGAGGTAACGAGAAAGGCTCAGAGACAGACATTTGCAGATGACAGCAGACGGAACTGTGTGCCTTCTGTCTGCCAGCTCTTTGGCATGGCACCACACGGAGGGCCTTGGCCTTCTCAGCTGGGCTCTGCTTATCTCCCAGGCATCATCTCTCGCAGTCCCTTATGATGCTGTGTGCAGCCATCCTGGGCCACCTGGTTCACACAGTACACCCTCAGACCTCCTGCCTGCACACCCCGTTTCCCTGCCTCTGCTGCCCTTCCCTCCTGGGTCCTTTTCCTATGCCTGCTCACTTCCTGGCCAGGGCCAAGATCTCCCCTAAGACATCACCTTCTCTGGAAAGTCCTCACTGAGGGCACACACCAGCTCAGCCCGATGGTGACACCCATCTGGCTACTTCGAAGCTCCCTTGGTCTTTTTCCACCAGACCCTGAGTTTCTTGGATAAGCTGAGAGTTCAGTGGTGGCATCAGAGAGCAGCACATTTATTTCATTGCAGTTGACCTTTAATCCTTCATCATGATCACAATCCTAATAGTGATATTCAGCCAGAGGAAAAAGTTAAAAAAAAATGGCTAATGGGGTTGGTTTGGTATAATTGGGAAAGCATTGTGCTTTTTTATTTATTTATTTATTTTATCGGTACCTGGGATCAAACTCACGACCGCCTGCTTACAAGGCAGGTACTTATGCTGCTGAGCTAATTCCCGGCCCCAAAAGCATTGTGCTTTTAAAAACATTTTTCTCTAAGGCCTGTGTCCTTATGGGAATTCTTGGTTTACTTGACTCTGTGTGTGTGTGTGTGTGTGTGTGTGTGTGTGTGTGCGCGCGCGTGGGACACATGCATTGCACAGGAGTGGAGTAGAGTTCTCATCTTCTACCCAGAGTAAAAGAAGGGATTTAAGATATGAGGGTTTTCAATTCTAAGTTCCTGAGGGCTTCCTCAGACACAGGCCCCTACTGAGGACCCCCTTGAGTAACCCTAGGCTCTTTCCCGCAAGCCAGAGCAGCATACTATTCTGTGCTTACATGCTGAGGTTTCCTATCAACTGTCATTGTAACACTCTAAACTTGTACAAAAAACCCTAGAGCTCTAAAACCCTTTCCAGATCCCAATTCCTGGAGTTCTTTAGTTCTGTAAGAGGAAACAGCAGCTGGGTCCTGGTGTCAGGGGTGCGGAGGACCCTGCTATGAGGATTCAGTGGGATGGAGCTTATGCTTTTGAATCATCTGTGACTCGCAATAACTCCTGTCCTTGCTTCCTACCCAGGGACTCACTCGCTGGTATATTTCCGCCTGGGCCTTTCGGATCCTGGCCCTGGCGTCCCTGAGTTTATCTCAGTTGGGTACGTGGACTCTCACCCTATCACCACATATGACAGTGTCACTCGACGGAAGGAACCTCGGGCCCCGTGGATGGCAGAAAACCTGGCACCTGATCACTGGGAGAGGTACACTCAGCTGCTGAGGGGCTGGCAGCAGACGTTCAAGAAGGAGCTGAGGCACCTGCAGAGGCACTACAATCACTCAGGTGTGGCTTCCCTGCAGCAGAGGCTCTCTTGGGGGCTCTCTGCCTGTGGTGAATGTGAACAGTTGCTCACTTACACCCCCTTGGCTTTTGGGAAAGCCTGGAAAATCTGGCTGATGGAGTTTGGGGCTTACCATCTGTTTTATATACCTTTCCAGTTGTTCTTCTCTTCCCCGGAAGCCCTCTGTCTTTTGCCCTATATCCCTATCTGGTTGCCATCCCACCTTCTGACATGCATGTTCTTTCATTCTAAATATGCCTGGTCTGAGTTTTATTTCCTGATGGCCAAGCTCAGTGATTTGGTAGTTTATGTGTAATGACTTACTACATTAGCTTTTCCAGGGATATTTCTGTTTCCTGGCTGTCTCTTTCCACTGCACTCATAATGGCTACAATGTTTATCAATTAATCATTCCCAAGACAACTCTCCAAGGCAGGCAGATGGCGAGTACTCCATAGATATGTGTTGATAGGTGGGCTTGCATAACAGAAACGTCCTGCAGACATATGGCAAGAGGGTTAGTATCCCAAGAGCACAGGATGCTTCTAGCTATACCCCAGCCACCTCACCTGGGAGTCGCCTCTGTCCCTGTGTCCTCCGCCTCATAGCTTGTGTTTTCCAGGGTTTCACACTTACCAGAGAATGATTGGCTGTGAGTTGCTAGAGGATGGAAGTACCACGGGATTTCTCCAGTATGCATATGATGGACAGGATTTCATCATCTTTAATAAAGACACGCTCTCCTGGGTGGCTGTAGATAACGTGGCTCACATTACCAAGCGGGCATGGGAGGCCAATCAACATGAGTTACAATATCAAAAGAACTGGCTGGAAAAAGAATGCATTGCCTGGCTAAAGAGATTCCTGGAATATGGAAAAGATACCCTACAAAGAACAGGTAAAGAGAAGAAAGAACTCTTTGTTCATGCATCCCCACAACAATTGGTTTTATATGTGACTTTCATTTATGTAGGTGGTATTCATTCCATGCTGAAATCTGTCTCTTCTGCTGGACTATTGTGATATGTAACTCTTGTGAAAACTGTCTTGGGTTATATTTTTAACACTATCTGGTATGTGTGTACATGTGCATACTTGTTTGTGGTACTGAAGGCTGAACACAGGGCCTTTGCACTGAGCTACATCTCCAGTCTGATTTTATTTTTTATTTTGAGTTAGGTTTCCCTATGTTGCTAAGTTGTCCAGGCTGAGCTGGAACTTATGCGCCTGTCTCAGGCTCTCCCTGCTCAATACCATCGTGACAAGATTTAGCAATACTACTTATTTTAACAGAATGGAAGACCTCCCACAATCACTTCCTTCTGTGAGGAGGATCTTGGGAGGTGACTCCCTCCATTTCCTGACAGTCATAAATTGGAAAATACTTTCAGAGATCAGATAATTTCTACAAATTGTTTAGGAACCCCAGTATGAAGACAACAGAGGATCTTTGCTTTACTTGAAGAGTAATGCCACAATTCCTTTTAGTAACAAACTCGCCTTCCACTTTACAGATATGGTTCCATTGGTCAATTTCTAGTTAATGCAGAATTTTTCACATATGATCTAATTTTGGTAAATGAATTACATCTGTACCTTTCTACAGGAAACTCCTAGACACAATGTGCCTTTTCCCACAGGAGTACTCTCCAATGGAGGGACTTTCCAGAGCTGTGGCAGGCCTGGAGCAAAGGTATCTGCGTCACACTAATGAACACACACTGTCTGTCTGAAAGCACAGGCCCTGAAAGCAGATGACTAGAGTTTGATTTTGATTCTCTGCACCAACGACTGAATAACTATCTTAATACTGATGATTTCAGGAAACACAAATCTATTCAAAATGGCTCACATGCAAAGAGGGAACCTATTTTAAGGCAGAGATCATAGCAGTACGGAGCCCTGAGGAATCAAAACCAAGATTTAAATGGCTTTTTCCATGAAGTAGAGTGGTGACCCCAGCACAAAGCTCATGGCCTTGGCTTCACTGTTCTGGAAGAATGGGCTGCTGCCTCTCAGCATTATTTACCTAAATAAATAAGTCACAGAAGGATTCTGATTGGCCTGAGTTGGGTCACATGCCACTTCTTGGACTAATCAGTATAAGCATCAGGATAAGCTTCTAAAATTGGCTGTGGGCAATAGAGTCCAGGCAAGGACTGAAGGCATACTCAAAATGGTTTTGCTCAGGAGACTACAAATAGGGTTCTTCTGAAAAGGTATAATGAGGATTTAGGAAACCAGTAAGGGATGGTGAAGTATCTGGAGACCTGGAAGAGTAGGAAGCCATGCCCTCCCATGATGCAAAGGGCAGGAGAAGGGAATATTGCTAGCAAAACCCAGCACGAACTGGTATCCTGGAAGATCATGACCAGTGGCAGTGAGGTGCACTGCAAAACTGGTATCTAAAACCCCAGGTCTCCTCCAGCTTTCTGATCTTTGGCTGAGAATGTTTCTCCCAATGACCAAACACATCTGCAAGCTAGAGGCCAAGAGAGCCCTGGAGGAGCAAGCTTAGGAGTCCAGGTTTCCATATTCAGAACGTACAATGGTACAGAAGGTCAGGGCCTAGCAAAGAGTCTCAGCAACAGCACACAGTTTGGGGAGGGGGTACTAAGATTGGTGCTTTTTAACAGAAGTATGGCCACGTGTGATGGCACACACCTGTAATCCCAGCACTCAGGAGGCTGAAGCAGGAGGATTTCTGTAAGTTCAAGGCCTGTCTGGGCTACATAGTGAGTTAAAGGCTAGCCTGAACTATATAATGAGACCCTGCCTCAAAATGAAACAAACAAAAAACCTAGCATGTTGGAATAGGATATTTTCTGAAATATGTTTTTCAGCAGCAGAAGGGGTTCCAGTCATCAGAAAAAGTGGAGCTAAGAGGTACTAAGTCAACCAAGCAATGATATTGAGTGAAATAAATAGTATGATAATGCTTACCTCAAGGAAACTGGTATGAAATAATATTCGCAAAAATACTTTGTAAGCTAGTGGGCTGTGTGTTCACACAAATGAGATTTAAGGGTTAATCCTGATCCTGAAGATTCTCCCAGGTGTGAGTTTTTGCTCTTTGGAGAAACTGCATTGTATGGGAAGACTGTGGTAATTTCATCTTCTGGGCCTTTGCTCCCCCTTGAACGATCCTGTCTAGCCACTCCAACTGTCCTAATGGGGTCTTACACTTTTGATGAAAACCCATGCCTAGAAAAGGATTTAGGATTAACTTCTTTTTAGAGAAGGTTTATTAGTACATGCTTGCAGCACATAATGATGGCATTCACCATGGGCAGCTGGTACACACACATAACGCATCTTCTTTTTATTTCCCCTCCCCCTCCCCCAGGACTGATTTCCTACAGGCACGGTCCAAAAACAGTCTCCCTTGGTGCCATTTATACATCATTTTAATGTTAAAAAGGGCATTGTTGAGGGGAAGGCTTTTCCTGTATCAGGAGTGGCATTTACCAAGGTGGCGGTGCAGAAGTAAATCTTAGTGAGGCTCAGGTCACAGTTTTTCCCAGATAGCATGATTGGTCTCTGTGTGGCTCTATGTCCCAGTGTCAGCCAGAGATGTTATGGGTGGTACCATATGGAAAATAAACTGTAGTCATGAGGAAGCAAAGTCCCAAATCGACAATGCCTTGTCATTGCTGATCCCCCCATCAGTTTCTGTAGCTCCTTTGAGGGTGGGTGACCTATCACATATGTTTGTGTCTGATGACAATCATCAAAGTGCCACACTGAGTACAGATGACAACTTGGAACCAAACCTGAGTGGAGATGTCTGTGTTAGTTATTAGCTCTGAATGCAGAATTGAGATCAAAAGGCACTGAATTGGGACTTCCAGTCTCTTGGTGGATTACTTACCAGGAATAATCTCACACTTTTGTGGCTCAGTTTTCCTTGACACATAAATGTATTTCAAATACTAAACAATTTCAATACACTTTCTGAACACTCAGTGATACCTGTGTCCCACTCTCCCAAAACAGGGTATGACTTGTTACCTGGCACACTGCCCTAGTAGAAAGTATGTAATAAACAAGTTTGTTGTTAATGAATCTGGGTTCTGGGCATTCTTAGCAGTAGATGTTTCACACAGTGGGGAAAAATTAATTGGGCAGCTCATCTGCAGAGTTTTAATACTGTTCACTCAGAACTCAAAACCTTTAACCCTAGTTTTTTCTTCCTAGAACCTCCAGTTATCAGAACATACCGCAAAGAAACTTTTCCAGGGATTACAGCTCTCTTCTGCAGAGCTCATGGCTTTTATCCCCCGGAAATCTCCATGATGTGGTTGAAAAATGGGGAAGGAATCACCCAAGAAGCAGATTATGGAGACATCCTTCCCAGCGGGGATGGGACGTATCAGACATGGGTGTCTGTTGAGCTGGATCCTCAGAGCAGTGACATGTATTCCTGTCGTGTGGAGCACTGTGGCCTCCAGATGGTTGTTCAGGGTCCCCAGGGTAAGGACAAGGGTCACAGCTGTCTGGGGAATGAGACTCAGGAAAGAGGCTGGGCAGGAAGCTATGCTGCATGCCAGAGAGGAAAGTGGCTCACTGCAGCCCCTGTAAGGTGGGTCTCTTAAATCAGCAGTTTTCACAGCGCTTGGTCCTATGGCTCTTTTATACAAATTATTGAGGGGCCCTAGAGACCTCTTTGTGTTTTGTGTTTTTTGTTTGTTTGTTTGTTTGTCTACTTGTTTGTTTGGTTTTGTTTTCTTGGGACAGGGTCTTGTTATATAGTTCAGGCTGGCCTTGAACTCGTGGCAATCCTCCTGCCTCAGCCTCCTGAGTGCTGGGATTGCAGGTGTACACCACCACACCTGGCTGTTTTGTGAATTATATCTACCACTATTTACTATATTACGAATCTAAAGTTTTGAAAAGTTAAACAGAAGAAAGCAGACATTCCACTGGCATCAGATTGACGAGTGAGCACTGACAGTAAAAAAAAAATATTGTTGAATTTTCCACTGATGACAGTGACGAAAGTCAGAGTTATCATAACAGGGAAAGAGAACTATGGGTTTTTCTCCTTTGCTTTCAGAATCAAAAGTCAGGCTTCTGGTGATACAAGCTGTGCCTGCGGCCCTGGGGCTCAGCATTGTCCTGTTTGGAATTGGCATTTGGGCCTGGAAAAGAAGACCTCAAGGTAAGATGGTGTGTGGAAGAACCGGGGGCTGCGGCTGCTTCCTTCCCATGGCTCCTCTGGCCCTCTGAGATCCATTTATAAATGGGTCGACCCTCATGTTGTGCTCACAGAGGACCTGGGACAACTTCCTCACCCCATATGGAGCACACAAAAGGGATAATGCTTGCAGGGACAGTCTGTTTTCTTAGGTAGAGGACACTGTGCCCTTGAGCTGTTTTTTCTTGACCATATCCTTATTATCCATCACTATGGACTTTTGAGGGAATGTTGCCCTTTGTTTCAAGACTACAGTTAGTTTTCTCATTTTGACAACCATTTTTCTATCCCAAGCACATGAAGGTCTTTTACCTTCTAAATTCACTTTTTAAGGACCAAGGGTTTAGCTCAGTGGCATAAATGCCTGCTTGGCAAGCACAAGGTCATGAGTTCAATCCCTTGTACCAAAAAAATAAAAAAAATAAAAAATAAAAAAATTCAGTTTTCAAAATAAGAATAGATACATTTGGAAAATGGCTTGGATTAAGGAAAAGAGCAAGGAAAAATCTCTTGATATTGTGGGGAAAATTCATTCATTAAATATGTATTAACTACTTAACTGTGTTCCAAGCATTGTGCTGGTTGCTGGGAAATAGCCATGAAAAAGTAAGACATGACCCCTGTTGTCACCGAGCCGATGGTATAGTCCTGTAAGGTCGTTGCCTGACTCTGACTTCACTAATTAAGTTGATCATAGCAAATGTTGGTCAGACATGGATCACGGCTTGAAACCCAGGGGCCAGGAGCTGCGCTTCGCTTCCTAGTCACAGACCTGAACCCAGTTCACCTGATGCTGTACGAAAACGTACTCTTAGATCCTTGGAAAACCAATCTTTTAAGTGGGAAATCAACTCACAGGGTTAGTGGATCATTAATGTTTCCTTTTTAAGTAAAACGCAGTACTAATCTCAATCCAGTAAATGATAACTATTGAAGAAAACATACTTTACACTTACATACATCTCTCTGGAAAGATACAGCATGAGTTCCTGCTTTTGCTTTATGGGGCTTGTGAATCTGAGTTAAAATTTGTCAAGGACTAAGAGAATCTTGACATAGCAAGTTAAAACTGCCAATGCTTGCTCCTTGGCATTTGCTAAATATTTTATACTTTGTTTTTGAGCTGGGAGGATACGTACATATCCTCTTATTTTTTAAAAAAAAATCTCTTTTCTTTCAGAGAAAAATGGAGTTATCTACCATCCTGCGTCAGATCAATGATTATAATTCTTCCCAGGAACCTTGGTGTGTTTATTGATCAGCCTTCCCATTGCTGGAACAAAAAAAAGGAGGAGAGGTTTATTTTGGCTCACAGTTTCAGTCCATGGTTGGCAGGCTGCAGAGCAGGAACAGCATAGCAAAAGGCATGGCACGCACGGCACAGGAAAGATGTTCAACTCATGGCATCTGGGAAGCAGAGAGCAAGGGGCCAGCTACCAGATATGGTCCCCATGGTCACTCCCTCATGACCCATTCTGACATAGCAAAAGTGTTCCTTATTAATCTCCCAGGCAGTCTCCACTCAATCAAGATGAACTGTCACACGTATGACAACTACCAAATATTTGACAACTGTCAAATGTCCTCTGTCCATTACACACTTAAGACCAGTGGTTGAAGCTCCTGACCACACCCACTGCATGCTTGGGTATTATGGGATTGAACATGTATGGCAGAATATAGAAACTACTAAATTTTCTTCGTTATTTGGACCATCAGCTTCAGGCTTTTCTGATGGACTCCTTTATCATGTTTGGTTTTAAAAACAATTTGTTTTATGACACAAAGATTCCTTACATCCCATTTCTCAGTGATGATTCATGAATCTCAGCCTACTGTTTTCTTGAACGCTGAGTGCAGAATACCTTCAGACACCATACAATGGCCTTTCTCATTCATCTCCTTGTTTGAGAATATTTATTATGCAAGAGCTTTGAATGTCATGGGTACTTTGACAGTGACTCCATGGATAAGGTTAGACTGCCTATGAGAACAGTCAGCAAGTTTCTACAACAGCCTGTGAATGGCTTGGTCATTTTACACATATTCTGGCCTGGGAGAAAGCAGATGTGGCCTGTTTGGTCTGGTAGCTTGGAATATAGAAAGTAAGCCTCACAGGGATCAGACATACTGTCACCTCCAGTGGAACTACAGAGACCTAGATCTGACTGTAATACTTGAATAATATATACCAGGTACGATGGTGCATGCTTGTAATCCTAGGATTCAGAGAGGCTGAGGCAAGAGGATTACAATGAATGAGACATTACCTGAAAATAAAAAGCTGATGAGGTCTGGGGATGTAGCTCAGTGTGGAGGTGCTGTGTTCAATCCCTGGTTACCTACCTGACAAGATAGTGTTTATGTCTCGAAGATTAAAGTGTGTGTGTGTGTGTGTGTGTGTGCGCGCGCGCGCGCACGCGCGCGTTGGCAATGGAATTCAGGGCCTCAGGCACACTAGGTAAACTCTCTGCCACTGAACTCTACATACCCCATCTCAGATAGTTCAATTGTAATTCCTTTCCTGTACTGTCTTATTGTAGGAAGGCCCAATTCACCCTCATACCTATATTTCCTATCATATATACACTGGGAATAAATAAAAATCCCATTCAAGAATTAGCATCCCATTGCTCCTCCTTACCCTCCCCAATCCCTGGAAGTCCTCGTGTTCTATCTCGCTGTTTGTAGCTGCTCATCTTACATTCATCTGTCCTATTACTTACCTGTTTGACAGCGTGTATTGATCTTGGCGCTTACTTTAGTGCTCCCAGTTTTCATAACTGGCTTTGAATGTGTACCTCAGGTATACACATTTGAATGTGTACCCCTGCTCTCCCTTGACTTCAACTGTGATTTTAATCATAAAGCCATAGATCAAAACCCTATCAGTGTTCAAACCTCTAAGAACCCATTTCCAGGCTCACTCCTCTCCACCATCCCCAGCTAATTCCATGGATTCAACTGCACTGTGCATCTCTCTTTTCCAGTGCCTTTTGGGTCGCATAGGAACACAATTGTGTTTGGTCTGATTTTAGGGTTGCCATGGGCAGTTTCTATGCTGTTTTCTAAACTAAACTATGTGGCATTGTGAAGAAAACACATGCAGTTTATTTCTGGAATGGTTTCCTACGGCAGTCAGAAGAGTTGGAATGTAACATATTTTTGGGTGGGTACTTAAATGATGCAGGTGATATGGCTACATAGGTGTCTTGATGCCCCACCTGCATGGTGCTCCCTTCAAAGGCATGATGCCAGCAGTCTCTTTGAGGTCCTAGAGCCCTGACCGATTCCCAAATAGATGAAGAGGCAGCAAAAATGATAGATGAGGTATTATAAAGAGATATGTTGGACTGGGGATTTAGCTCAGTAGCATAAGTGCCTGCTTGGCAAGCACAAGGTCATGAGTTCGATCCCCTGTACCCCCCCTTCCCCAAAAATGGTGAATGTCGATTTTTTTTAAAAAAATTATTACTGTAAAAGACATGTTGCCGTTACCCCTCCCAGATACTCTCCCTTGCTTTGATTACACTGATCCCATCACTCTTGCCACTTTCAGAAACAGTTCTGGAGGCCCTCTTTTGTTTTGTCTTTTTTTTTTTTTTTTAACTTTTTATCGGTACCGGGGATCGAACTCACAACCGCCTGCTTGCAAGGCAGGTGCTTATGCCACTGAGCTAAACCCCAGCCCCGGCCCTCTTTTGTGAGGATCTTTAATTGTGCCTTGATGTCCTGAATAGATTTTAAATGTTTACTTTAGCTGGACATGGTGACACATGCCTGTAATTCTAGCACTCGGGAGGCTGAGGCAGAATTACCATGAGTTCAAGGACAGCCTGGGCTACAGGTGAGGTTCAAGGCCAGCCTATACTAGGTGAGACTCTGTCAAAAAAAAAAAAAAGAAAGAAAGAAAGAAAGAAAGAAAGAAAGAAAGAAAAGATAAGAAAAAAGAAAAGAAAAAGAAAAAAGTTTATGGTCATTTTGATTTGAGAGAAGAGCCAGAAGTTACATGGTACCCAATCAGGTTAATAGGGTGTGGTAAAGGATGGTTTGTGTTTTGTTTGACAAAAATTGCTGTAAAATTTATCAATGATGGATGTTAAAAAATGGTGAATGTTTAAATTTAAAAAATTGTTAAAGGACACATTGTTATTACTCCCTCTCAAAATACTCAAACCTCTCTCACTTCAAACGCCCTTATCTCATCATTTTGGCAATGTGTCTTTTACTGCAAGAACTATTTTTAAAAATGGAAGCCTTAGGGGCTGGGGATTTAGCTCAGCGGCATAAGCGTCTGCCTTGCAAGCACATGGTTGTGAGTTCGATCCCCGGTACCAATTAAAAAAAAATGGAAGCCTTAATTATATTTTCTCAGTCATCTGTCCTATGCACTTGCTGCATTTCCGCTTCTCCCCAGAGGGGGTGGGGTTATAATGTAAAAAATGACAAAGCAGTGATTTTTTTTTAAAATACCTAAAGTTTAAGCTTAGGGATATCACTCAGCAGAACACTTGCCTAACATAGTTAATGCCCAGCACTGCAAAACAAACAAATAAACAAAGAACCTAAATTTTTTGAATCATCATTTTATTGTAGGTAACTAAAATTTGTATTATTTCTTTTATTTATTTATTTTTTTTTTGTCTTCTTCCTTTTTATTGTTACCAGGGATCGAACTCACGACTGCCTGCTTGCAAGGCAGGCGCTTATGCCGCTGAGCTAAATCCCAGCCCCTTGTATTATTTCTTAATAATTTTAGGCTTGTGATTTCACTAATTCATGTTTGTTAATTACAGATGCTTAGTAATCAGAATCTATGAACTAGTTGATACCATGATCTAAATGTTAAAAATAAAGAGTATGCTATTACTACACTTCAGCTCTGGCCTTGAATATCTGTACTTTTGGATATTTTAGGTTGAGAATATTTTAGATGAGGAAACTGTTCAACTTTCTTCTTGAACTCCGCTATGTTATTGTCTGTTTTCTGTTTAGTATACACAGACCAAGATGTCAAATGGCAAGGCAGCCAGCAGGGAGGGAAAGCGACCTGCAGTGCAGAAGGCGGGCCAGGTTTTCCCGGGCACTCTCCGTGGCAGGCTCCTGACCTCCCTGCCACGTCCAGCCTTCCTCTGCTTATTCCAAATATTTCTACATTCTGATCCTTCCCTTATTTCTGAGGAACTACTTGGATTTTCCTCTTCTTTCTATTTTTGGTCCGAGAGAAGAGTGTTTTCTTGTGGTCATGAGGAACGGTTGTCCAGTAGGGAGGTCAGCTGGTCATTTTGTGACAGGGTGCCACAGAATGGTCACATCTTATTTTGGTCACCACTGTCTGGGGTCTTTGTCTTCACACATGCAGGTCAAATTTCCCTGTGGGATGGTGAGATGGATTCAGAAAGTGGAGTCCCATTGTACTAATTCCCTGACCCAAGTGGGCCACAATCTATTTCAGAGCATCTTGATGTAGGAAAGTCCACATTCAAACAAGTAAATCATGGTGATTGGTGCCCCAGAATTGGAGCAGGGAAACACTTTTTGTTGCTGTTGTTTTTTTCTACAGTTTGCCACTTTTTTTCCCACGTACAATTTGTTAGTTCACAGAACGTTCTCCAGGGAGGAGATGAGATTTGCCCAAATCTACGTACAGTGGGCAGCAGAGCTAGAAGGGAACACAGGTTGCCGTCTTTAGCCCAGGTATTTTCTACTTTATTGCTGTGTCATTCTAAGAGGATGATTCTCCACTGCTCTTTTTGAAATGCTTTTATCATCTTTCTTTCTTTGAACATTTGCCATCTTTTAGCCTTTATCTTTCTCTAATATCTCTGAATCTCCCTTTTGTCCTGGGCTCCTTTTCTCCAGCATCCTTCTAGTTTCTGGTTGTTTCAAACCCTACAAGCTGTGTAACAAATGTTGAAACCTAGTGACCTAGAAACATCAACAATCATTTTATTTTCTTTCTTAGTCTCTTGTTAGGAGCTTGGGTAGGCAGTGCTGGCTGTGGTCTCTTGTGGATTTACAGCCAAGTGGTGACTAGAAGTCAAGCCATACAGGACCGGAGCAGCTGAGCACGGTAGGCAGGCACCTCTCTCCACTCTGTCTCAGGGACTCTCCGTGCAGTGGACTCTCTGTGGGTTACTTTGAGCTTCCTCAGGACATGGTGATCTTGGGGCAGGCAAATTGTTTACATGGCAGACAGCTTCCTGCAGGGTGAGTTTCCTGAGATCAAGGGAGAAGCTCATAGACCTCTTTATTTTTATTTTAAAAAATGTATTTTTATTTGAAAGATAATAAAATTCAACAAAATAAAACAGAACAAAGCCAATTAAAACAAAGCAGCAGCAGGGCTGGGCATTTAGCTCAGCAGCATAAGCACCTCCCTTGCAAGCAGGCGGTTGTGAGTTCGATCCCCGGTACCAGTAAAAAGTTAAAAAAAAAGCAGCAAAATTGGTACAGAACTCAAAGCAGGATAGTAGGAAAACACCAACAGCTCCCATAGTATATCTTCTTATTTCCATACCAGTTGTCCATCCCATCAGGTATAGCAAAATCTAATCAAAACAGAATAAAACCAATCAAAACAGAACATTGAATAAAGCAAAACAATCAGAACAAAACAAAACAGTGAGAACAATATTGGACTTCAAAGACAGACAGAAGGAAATCCCCCATATTTGCTATATTGCGTACTGTTATCCTCCCAATAGATGCTCAGACTGCCAGCTCCAGGCCTGCAAAATCAACCAAGTTGATTGGTTGCTTTTGTACCTCAGTTGTTATCAACTCAGCCTGTCCTCCAGGCCAGCAGGTTGCTTACAGGGTGTGTGTGTGTTTGGGGGTTGATTCTCAACCCAGGTGCTGGTAGGCTCACAGAAGGTGCTGACTTTTCTTTCTGGACCCCGTGTGGCTTGCATGGCTTACCAGAAAGACTGGCTACTTAGCTTCTTGTTTGGCCCCTCCTAGTCCCAGCCTGGCTGATTCTCAGGAGGCACTGAATTTTCTCATTCTGGACCCTGCATGGTTTTGGTTCATAGAATTCTTATGACCCAGCCGTGGAAGTCACATAGTGTCACTTTACTCTTAATATGTCAAAGAAGTCACAATGGTGTTCATTTTGAAAGGAAGAGGGTATAGTCTCAACACTGAGTGGATAGATTATCAAAGTTAAATTGTGAGAAGAGAATGTAGATGGGGGTTCCTGCTCATCCAATAAAGTTCTCTAGAGCTTCTGATGCCTCCTTTGAGTGTCAGTGAGAAAGTGAAGTTCCAACAGAGGAAATGCTGATGCCTTCAGGTGGGTTAAATATGAGCTCTGACCCCAGGACCTTAGGGTCTCCTGGACATAAGATTGTTAGAAACATGTGGACTGCATGCGACCCATCACTAAGGAAGAATCCCAAACTATGGCTCGGGGGGCACCTGAGACTTAACTTTGGCCTTCTTTTTCAGAAGTTCCCTTTCTGCTTCTCTATAGCTGACAGACCTGAATAAAAAGAACACTGAATAAAGTAGAAGCTACTTTGCATGAATGACTTACCATGTAGAAAGATACCAGCCACCCATGCAGTCTATTAAATGTGACTTGGCTGAGTTTTGTTTGATTAAAATACTGAACTCACCCATTTATTCTGCTTCTGGCTTGGGAAGCAACTGAGGCCATGACCAGAGCTCCAACTAACCCACAAAGAATATTTGTGAGTGGATACAGGCTTGGCCAGCAGAACACAGAGTGGACTTTGACCTGTTTGCTCTCTCAGTGGGGGAATCCTGGTACAAGGCACAACCTTACATGGCAGCTAGCTAAATCACTGGAAATAGAAATTGACTGCATATTAAAGTGAGTATTTAGGGTGAGGACTTAACTCAGTGGCATAAGCACCTACATAGCAAGTATGTGTTTGTGAGTTTAATCCCCGGTACCAAATAAAATAAAATAAAATAAGTATTTACAGTATAGGAGTAATGGTATAGAAAAACAGGTCTATTCACCCAAAATGATAGAACTGGAGCCTTATGTAGAATACTCAAATAGATAAAATTATCTAAAAGTTTTGCATAATCCTTTCATGGTGTTTATTTAATGGCAATCTATTTTTAATTTTTTATGTAATATTAAACAGTCTGTATGATTGCCTCATGTGTAGTACAAACTCAGTAAATGCTTCTTGAATGAACCAGTACAGTATTTTAATTAGCTAGTCTTAGTGGGCTGTTGCCAAAAGAACAGTGTCATCTTAGAGCTGAAGTCATAAAATGAAAATATCACAGAGGGATCATGTAACAGTCCAGGTGCCCAGGGCACATGGTCCATGGACTCAGCTCAGTTCTTCACAGGAGTCAGCAGAATTAACATACTTCAATTAACAAACTTTTGTCATTGCCTTATCTGTGAGATTTCTAGCACCTGGCCCCCACCACATGCACATATTAAGGACAAGGACAGAATCCAGAGGTTCTTACATGAAGTGCTGTTTTTCCTTTCTTTCTGTTTTTCTGGTTCTGGGGATCAAAGCCAGGGCCTAGTGTGTGAGGCAAACACTCTACAGCTGAGCGCCATCCCCAGTTTGGTGCCAAGATGGTAAGTAGAGGTGTCGATAAATGAGTTGTCAGTTGTCTTGTGGACCCAAATATCTAGTAACTTATCTATATTTGTTATTCCTAAGGCTAACAGAGTATTTCCTTCCTGTCATCATCTGGGTAGTTCATTAATGTTTTTAAAATACAGACTTACGCAACTCTTAGCTAAGCCCTGGAGTTAGAAGTACTCCTTCTTGAGAAAACTGGTCCTCGTGTGTTTTCCTCTTCTTGCCTCCACTCCTATTCAGTGTTTGCTGACCCAAGCAGGGCTTCTGCTTTGTTCCTTGGCAGGGGTTCATGTGAGAGAAGGTTTTGGTGCTGAGGGGCAGCTGGAAGGCTGGGTTGGCCTGGAGCCCCTGGCAAGGCCAGGCTGGGTCTGAGGTAAGCTCTGTAGCAGCAGCCAGAACTCCGAAGCAGCGCAACGGGCCAGAGTGGGAACAACCGAGGAGAAATGCGGCTTCTGAGGAAACGACCTTGCCTATGGAAAGTACAGTCAAGGAACAGGAGGCTACAGCACAAAATGGGAAGCCACCAAAGTGGAAGAGGAAGTGAAACCAAGTGAGGGATGAGGCGTGCACCCCCAAGCTAAACCAGTCTTTTTCCCTTTGGAGGTATCGGAGCACATGTTTATGTTTACTAGAACTCAGTAAAAGCTCTATTTTTCTCCTGAGCAATACAACAGTAACATAAATAGAGAATTCCAGGAACATTCTGAGAAGAAAATGCTCTAAAAGGTGACAATTCCAGGGAAATTTGAGGGTGTCGAAAAATAAAAGCTAAAACATTTAGAATCCCATCAGGAGCTGAAAGGCAACCCTTCCATGTACTTTGGAACACCTAAAAACACATTACTCACAAAACCGCTGCAAATACACACTCTGTGCATTATACACAACAGGAATTAGCCAAACTAGATACAAGCTCCAGGGGCTGAGTGCGTGGACTGCCTTGTACCTTACTTTTAGAAAATGGAGTTAGTCATTGATCCTGAGGATACCGGCAGGAGGAAAGACAAACTGCTATAATTCAATTCTGGCCTTTGCTGCTGAAATGGAGATCAAATTTCAAAAATTTGTAAACTAGTTCTGCTTCATAGACTTGACATCATCTATGGGAGGACTTATTTATAGGCCCAATGGTGAAAATTTCCTATCACAAGTAATAAATTAATTTCTCTGTGTGACATTGTATATTTTCATTAAGCCACAAAGTTTTTACCCCAGTTTCTTATTAATAATGCATCAAAAATTATAGGTACTTAAATTAAGTTCTTAGAGCCTTCATTAGTTAATCATAGAGTAT